CACAAGTGTTCAGTGTCTCCCTCAGTGTAGCAACACAAGTGTTCAGTGTCTCCCTCAGTGTAGCAACACAAGTGTTCAGTGTCTCACAAGACATGATTTTCAATTAATTCTTTTACATATTTCACATTAAAGATATTGTTCACCTCAAGACTTTCCAGTTCAAATTCAAATTCAAAGTTTATTCTCTATAAGGATTACAATGCTGAGTTTACAGAAATTTGGTTATTGTTTGGTTTACATGTAGTAAAATTGTGATTACAGAGTGTACCACTAGAACGCTTAGCATGGCTAGGCATTTCTCACTACGACATAACAGTGGTCTGGGAGAGACAGTAAGGTCTTATAAGGTTGCTCTTCTAAGTTTACCTGGAGAGGGTTTCGGGAATGAACGCCCCCGTGGCCCAGTCTGTGACCAGGCCTCATGGTGGATCAGGGCCTGATCAACCAGGCTGTTACTGCTGGCCGCACGCAAACCGACGTACGAACCACAGCCCGGCTGGTCAGGTAGTGTGCCTGTCCAACGCCTTCTTGAAGACAGCCAGGGTTCTATTGGTATGTTGGGAGGCAGTTGAACAGTCTTAGGCCCCTGATATTAAGTGGGGAGTGTTGGCGAACTGACGGATATACACTGACAGTCACTGAGATCATTCATTAACTGGGATAGGAAGAGGATATACAGGGGAACCTCGGTGTTTGAACCTAATTGGTTCCAAGGTGGTGGTCGAATTACGAAAAGTTCAGTGTCCGAAACAGCATATTCCAGGCTTTAATTATCAGCCTGACACACCAGAGGATGTTGAACTGACTCTTCCAAAAGTCTCTGAGAGTCAGGTCAGTGTCACAGGTCACTTCAAAACACTGTTGAAACAGAACTTTACAGGAAATTTTTCTTGCAACAAAATTATAAACAAGCCGCCGCGATCAGACTCCAGAAAAACGTTCAAAAACCAGGTCACTTTTTTCTGAACAAAATTGTTCGGACTTCGGTTAGTTCAAGGTCCGGTATATTCGAACACCGAGGTTCCACTGTATTTTTAAATTTTAAATTGAGAAAAAAATAGAGTTAAAGAGTTACTTGGATTTTTTTTCTTTAAAACAAAGAGGTTTATCAGTGGAATGAATTACAAGAGGAAGTGGTAGATGCTCTACTATTAAATATAATGAACAAATTATTGAAGACTGTAAACCACGAGCATAACTCTGCTACTGTATCTACAAATATGTAATTACAAGTAGGTAATTTATTAGTAAAGAGGAAACACTAGACCCTTATGTTTCACACAGTAAATAACCTATGTGACATGTCAAGATATCTTATTAATGAAAATAAGATCTAAGATATACTAAGCAAATTTCCTAAATTTGATTGTAACAGGTATCTGAACTGTAGATATAAATCTAAATGTACACCTGTTAACCCTTTTGGAGCCTAGTTCCTAGGCCTATTGTGTATCCAGATGCTCTTGCACTACCGTCCACAGGATGGATATGGAGTGCACAATAAACTAGCCACTTCGGTGGCAAAATCTAAAATCTTCATACAGTTCATCTGAATATTTAAGACAGATATGTACCTTCCACAGGTAGTGACCGAGTCACTACTTGTACAAGACATGACGTGGGACGAGTCACTACTTGTACAAGACATGACGTGGGACTCTTGTCTTATTAATCAAATCATCTGTGATGTTTTTTTTTTACTTTATACTGAAATCTCAAGGACCTTTCTTGAACATTGTAACCCAGATGTTCTTGAACATTGTAACCCAGATGTTCTTGAACATTGTAACCCAGATGTTCTTGAACATTGTAACCCAGATGTTCTTGAACATTGTAACTCAGATGTTCTTGAACATTGTAACCCAAATATTCTTGAACATTGTAACCCAGATGTTCTTGAACATTGTAACCCAAATATTCTTGAACATTGTAACCCAGCTGTTCTTGAACATTGTAACCCAGATGTTCTTGAACATTGTAACCCAGACGTTCTTGAACATTGTAACTCAGATGTTCTTGAACATTGTAACCCAGATGTTCTTGAACATTGTAACCCAGATGTTCTTGAACATTGTAACCCAGATGTTCTTGAACATTGTAACCCAGATGTTCTTGAACATTGTAACCCAGATGTTCTTGAACATTGTAACCCAGATGTTCTTGAACATTGTAACCCAGATGTTCTTGAACATTGTAACCCAGATGTTCTTGAACATTGTAACCCAGATGTTCTTGAACATTGTAACCCAGATGTTCTTGAACATTGTAACCCAGATGTTCTTGAACATTGTAACCCAGATGTTCTTGAACATTGTAACCCAGATGTTCTTGAACATTGTAACCCAGATGTTCTTGAACATTGTAACCCAGATGTTCTTGAACATTGTAACCCAGATGTTCTTGAACATTGTAACCCAGATGTTCTTGAACATTGTAGCCCAGATGTTCTTGAACATTGTAACCCAGATGTTCTTGAACATTGTAGCCCAGATGTTCTTGAACATTGTAGCCCAGATGTTCTTGAACATTGTAACCCAGATGTTCTTGAACATTGTAACCCAGATGTTCTTGAACATTGTAGCCCAGATGTTCTTGAACATTGTAACCCAGATGTTCTTGAACATTGTAACCCAGATGTTCTTGAACATTGTAGCCCAGATGTTCTTGAACATTGTAACCCAGATGTTCTTGAACATTGTAACCCAGATGTTCTTGAACATTGTAGCCCAGATGTTCTTGAACATTGTAGCCCAGATGTTCTTGAACATTGTAGCCCAGATGTTCTTGAACATTGTAACCCAGATGTTCTTGAACATTGTAACCCAGATGTTCTTGAACATTGTAACCCAGATGTTCTTGAACATTGTAACTCAGCTGTTCTTGAACATTGTAACCCAGCTGTTCTTGAACATTGTAACCCAAATATTCTTGAACATTGTAACCCAGATGTTCTTGAACATTGTAACCCAGATGTTCTTGAACATTGTAACCCAGCTGTTCTTGAACATTGTAACCCAAATATTCTTGAACATTGTAACCCAGCTGTTCTTGAACATTGTAACCCAGCTGTTCTTGAACATTGTAACCCAAATATTCTTGAACATTGTAACCCAGATGTTCTTGAACATTGTAACCCAGATGTTCTTGAACATTGTAGCCCAGATGTTCTTGAACATTGTAACCCAGATGTTCTTGAACATTGTAACCCAAATATTCTTGAACATTGTAACCCAGATGTTCTTGAACATTGTAACCCAAATATTCTTGAACATTGTAACCCAGCTGTTCTTGAACATTGTAACCCAGATGTTCTTGAACATTGTAACCCAGATGTTCTTGAACATTGTAACCCAGATGTTCTTGAACATTGTAACCCAAATGTTCTTGAACATTGTAACCCAGATGTTCTTGAACATTGTAACCCAGATGTTCTTGAACATTGTAACCCAGATGTTCTTGAACATTGTAACCCAGATGTTCTTGAACATTGTAACCCAAATGTTCTTGAACATTGTAACCCAGATGTTCTTGAACATTGTAACCCAGATGTTCTTGAACATTGTAACCCAGATGTTCTTGAACATTGTAGCCCAGATGTTCTTGAACATTGTAACCCAAATATTCTTGAACATTGTAACCCAGATGTTCTTGAACATTGTAACCCAGATGTTCTTGAACATTGTAACCCAAATGTTCTTGAACATTGTAACCCAGCTGTTCTTGAACATTGTAACCCAGATGTTCTTGAACATTGTAACCCAGATGTTCTTGAACATTGTAACCCAGATGTTCTTGAACATTGTAACCCAAATATTCTTGAACATTGTAACTCAGATGTTCTTGAACATTGTAACCCAGATGTTCTTGAACATTGTAACCCAGATGTTCTTGAACATTGTAGCCCAGATGTTCTTGAACATTGTAACCCAGATGTTCTTGAACATTGTAACCCAAATATTCTTGAACATTGTAACCCAGATGTTCTTGAACATTGTAACCCAAATATTCTTGAACATTGTAACCCAGCTGTTCTTGAACATTGTAACCCAGATGTTCTTGAACATTGTAACCCAGATGTTCTTGAACATTGTAACCCAGATGTTCTTGAACATTGTAACCCAAATGTTCTTGAACATTGTAACCCAGATGTTCTTGAACATTGTAACCCAGATGTTCTTGAACATTGTAACCCAGATGTTCTTGAACATTGTAACCCAGATGTTCTTGAACATTGTAACCCAAATATTCTTGAACATTGTAACCCAGATGTTCTTGAACATTGTAACCCAGATGTTCTTGAACATTGTAACCCAGATGTTCTTGAACATTGTAACCCAGATGTTCTTGAACATTGTAACCCAGATGTTCTTGAACATTGTAACCCAGATGTTCTTGAACATTGTAACCCAGATGTTCTTGAACATTGTAACCCAGATATTCTTGAACATTGTAACCCAGCTGTTCTTGAACATTGTAACCCAAATATTCTTGAACATTGTAACCCAGATGTTCTTGAACATTGTAACCCAGATGTTCTTGAACATTGTAACCCAGATGTTCTTGAACATTGTAACCCAGATGTTCTTGAACATTGTAACCCAGCTGTTCTTGAACATTGTAACCCAGATGTTCTTGAACATTGTAACCCAGCTGTTCTTGAACATTGTAACCCAAATATTCTTGAACATTGTAACCCAGATGTTCTTGAACATTGTAACCCAGCTGTTCTTGAACATTGTAACCCAGATATTCTTGAACATTGTAACCCAGATATTCTTGAACATTGTAACCCAGATGCTCTTGAACATTGTAGCCCGCCCAGATGTTCTCATTTATGTAAATGACAACTATGTGAGCGCTCACATGTGGACACAGACATAAGTGTGAATACACATACAAACGAGGACACATAAACAAGTATACACACACACCTATGTAGACACAGACACATTAATATTAATTTTTTTTAAGATATACAAAGAAATATTGTTTCTACTTACCTCAGTATTCTGGGAGCTAAATTATGTTCAACCTGAGCTGAAGATTCTGTGCGAATCTAATGTCCTCAGTTGATTATCTGTAGACTGTCCTTGCAGGTGTAATAACAGGCAACGACACACAGGTGTAATAACACTCAGGTACATGCAGGTGTAGTAACACAGGTAGACATAGGTGTAGTAAAACAGGTAGACACAGGTGTAGTAACACCCAAGTACACAGGTGTAGTAACACCTAGCTGCACACAGGTGTAGTAACACCCAGCTACACACAGGTGTAGTAACACCCAGCTACACACAGGTGTAGTAACACCCAGGTAGATACAGGTGCAGTAACATCCAGGTACACACAGGTGTAGTAACACCTAGCTACACACAGGTGTAGTAACACCCAACTACACACAGGTGTAGTAACACCCAGGTAGATACAGGTGCAGTAACATCCAGGTACACACAGGTGTAGTAACACCTAGCTACACACAGGTGTAGTAACACCCAGCTACACGCATTGTAATAACACACTCACACAGACACTCATTTTCAGATAGGTTAACGTCACCATAGTTGTTGACACAAAGGAATCATATTGTTTTCGTCTGTTGACTTAGAATATTACGAACTGTCACTGGTAATTAGGGGCATATATGGGTAATTATAAGAGGTCAGAGGTTAGAGATCTTGTATGTAGTAGATGGGAAGGTGGATAGGGAGGTAGAGAAGAGGTAGAGTAGTAGATAGGTGGACTTGGTAGACAGGTAAGTAGAGAGGGTAGGTAGTTTGAGGCAAACGTAACAGGTGGTAGATCAGGTTGGTACGAAGGTGAGGTAGGTAGGTGGGTAGGTAGGTAGATGAGGTAGGTAAGCAGGGGCAGGAGTGGCGTGGCGCACACGATGGGTCCAGTGTGGGCACTAGCTTGGCCTCGCCAGATAACTTGTGATGTTGCTGTTGCTGCTGCTGCCTGCTGGGAGATGATGATGCCCGGCTTTTGCTCCCTCCTTCTCCCTCACTCCCTCTCTCATTTCCTCTTCTCTCCCTCCATCTCTCCTCTACCTCTCATCTTCTCCTCTGACTCCCTTCTAACCTCTCCTCTCCCTCTCTCTCTCACTCACTCTCCGTCACATACTGCTGCTGAGGGATGTCAGACTGAGGATGTGTTTAATAAAGACGTTTAATTGGTTATTAACATCACCTTGCAGAAGAGTGTTGTATTCGGAGTCAGTAAGCTCCTAGCAAAGGTTAATTAACTTAATAGTTTTATTACGTACACAATACCCATCCTATGGGGGGGGCAGTCACCCCATATCCATTCTGTGGGTGGTAGTCACCCCGCACCCATCCTGTGGGTGGTAGTCACCCCGCACCCATCCTGTGGGTGGTAGTCACCCCACACCTATCCTATAGCTGATAATCACCCCACACCCATCCTGTGGGTGGTAGTCACCCCACACCCATCCTGTGGGTGGTAGTCGCCCCACACCCATCCTATGGGTGGAAGTCAAAAGATTACAGAGACATAATGGGTCTAGGGACCGCACCCCAAAGTTTTGATAAATGAGCAGGTTACAGTGGCAGCTGAATAAGATACACGTGCAATACCTCGGTATATTTATTGTATTAATGTTGGTAAAATTACCGACAATATGTTAGGTAAAAGGGCACAAGTGCAACAAATGTGACGTGTTATTGTGGCAACGTTTCGCTCTCCAGGAGCTTTGTCTTGTGACTTTGTTAATTCAATACATGGATTAAATACTTGACTGATACAGCCACAGTAAATATGCATAAGTATCTTTAGCAGTATCAATACAGTGGTAATAAAGTATTTATAAATTGATGATCTGTTAAACACAGTTTTGTGATCAGGTGAGCCAACACAACCAAGAGGTTTGCTGGTAATTGTTTCTTCAGGTACAACACTCACTGGTGAGTCGAGGGAGGAGCCAGAGGTATGTGTTGGCAAGTCTCTTATGATTTACATGTTTAAATACTGCAAAAATCATAATTTCTCTTTCTCCCTGTCTGTCTGTCTCTCTCTCTCTCTCTCTCTCTCTCTCTCTCTCTCTCTCTCTCTCTCTCTCTCTCTCTCTCTCTCTCTCTCTCTCTCTCTCTCTCTCTCTCTCTCTCTCTCTCTCTCTCTCAGCTACACTATTTTAGGCGTGGCAGAGTTAGCAGTTTCCACAATTAGATGTTCATTCATCTCCGCTGCGACAGGTTGTTGCTCTCCCCCTCACTCTTGCCCTCATGCTACTTGTTAGGTCTTCAACAGTGACTAGGCCCTCACTTGTCCCTTCCTGGTTATTAGGAGCTTCATAATAACCCCAGCCCTCACTCGTCTCCTCCTGCATCTTGTTACTTTTCCTGAACGAGTATCATTAGTAATATGATCCTTTGTGGCTGTATAATTCCTGTGTGGACGGCGACAACACAACTCCCGACTTGAGATATAGGCAATATCGACCAGTTTGTTTGTTAACGAAATGAGGCACAATACCAAGAGGGCACTCCTCATAGAAATAGTCTTCACACACGAGCGTAAGTAGGTCTACTCTAACTGGTTGACGTTAAATATTACAACTAGCTCGTTAAAGCCTAAGTTTTTACCTGTATGTAAACTCCCATTATAGCTCGTAAATTCTACTAAGAGTTAATTAAGTCGCAGATATGAAAGAATTGGCCTCATTAACCTAATTTTCCTCTCATCATTATAGCAACTTTGCAAATATAAACGCATAACACCAATTATTATTAAACGTAATCTATAATATAGCGCAATATTCACCAGTCGTTCTTGTTATTTAAAAAAAAATTTAAAAGAATTCGAATCAGAAAAAAATACTGAAATAACATGTATTTGTATTGCAGCAGTGATAAACAAGACCACAACCTCAACATCATGACCAGGCTCTCAAATTTTACAATCATAGTTGAAGAATGAGACACCAGTTCAGCATCTATCAGACACTGCAACATCTTAGGATCTTGATAAAGAAAATACTTCTACGCTTGTCTAACCTATAGGCATGACCTACTGACACCAGTGGATTTGTCCAGTGATAACTCCGCCTCCTCCTGCTTCTACTCCTGCGTATATACTGCTTTTATACTTACTGCAGTATATACGCCACTTCTTCAAACATATGCTCTACTGTTCTCCAATTTGATGGACTAAACACATCGACTCTAGGCTGAGGGACTGATCACCTAAAAATCCTCATCTTGCACCGTTCTCCTCTACTGGACTGAAAAAAGCCACTGGCAGGGGAAACGTTTCCTCAGTAAAGATTCCCAACTGCTGCATGTAGATTTTCTAAACCAATTGCATCACAAAGTTACGAATTACGAAGTTAGGTCCCAAGACTCGTGAGCAGTAGCAAGGAAAACAGCAGGTAATGACGAAAGTAATCACATCCTTTTCTTGATCAACTATATCTCTTTCGGGCAGACAGTTGCTGTGGCTAAATACCCTCCCCCACATAGCGCACACTTTCGTTTATTTTAGTTGGCACGGTTCTCGTAGTTGCGTGGTGTTGCTCGGATACGTCATATACCGGGTTCCAAGAAGCACTTTCTGATGGCGTGTCCAAACTTCAAACTGTTGAAGCATTATTTAACTTCATATTGTTTTTCTCCTGTGAGCCTAAGAGGACTGTATTTGATTATGCTGCTAAGTTATGCTCTCCATACTTCAGAATAGTTCCTGGGTCCTGGGCACAATTGACTGTGGGTCCTGGGTACTATTAACTGTGGGTCCTGGGTACTATTAACTGTGGGTCCTGGGCACTATTAACTATGGGTCCTGGGCCCTATTAACTGTGGGTCCTGGGCACTATTAGCTGTGGGTCCTGGGCTCTCTCTTAACTGTGGGTCCGGGGCACTATTAACTGTGCGTCCTGGGCACTGTTAACTGTGGGTTCTGGGCACTCTCTTAACTGTGGGTCCTGGGCACTATTAACTGTGGGTCATTGGCACTATTAAGTGTGGATCCTTGGCACTCTCTTAATTGTGGGCCCTGGGCACTCTTAACTGTGGGTCCTGGGCACTCTCTTAGTTGTGAATCCTGGGTACTCTCTTAATTATGGGTCCTGGGCACTATTAACTGTGGATCCTGGGCACTATTAACTGTGGGTCCTTGGCACTATTAACTGTGGGTCCTGGGCACTCTCTTAATTGTGAGTCCTGGGCACTCTTAACTGTGGGTTCTGGGCACTCTCTTAATTGTGGGTCCTGGGCACTCTCTTTACTGTGGGTCCTAGGCACATTTAATCGTGGGTCCTGGGCATTATCTTAATAGTGGGTCCTGGGCATTATCTTAATAGTGGGTCATGGGCATTCATTCACTGGCTCCTGAGATAGATCTAAAGATAAATATTTACGTTGTATACAATGTATGGGTACCATTGAGACCTTTACATTTACACATAGCAAATAATTAGATTGAAACAAAGAGTTAAGAATGATATAGCAGGTGTCTCTCTCCTCAGTTTTGACTCCTCAGAGATTCCTGAGTCTGGACATTTTTCGTGGGCACTCGGCACTGTGTCCAACTTGTTCACTGGATGTTGAAGGCCAGACGCACCTCCTTTCAAGACAAGGTGCCGTTCTATTATCGTGCCTCTCTTTATGATGTACTGGACGACACACTGGTGGTAGTGTTGTGGGAACTTTAAGACCAACGGCCAGTTTGTATACTTTGGTTGAATATTGGTAACTAAGGATCACTTGTCATGAAGGTTGACGACCTAAAGACCACCGGAGCTGCATCCTGAAGTCTTTCCCTCTCTCCGATCGTCTTTATATATCACGTAGCTTAAATAGGGCGGCAGTTACGAGGGTTAAACACGTGCCCTAACATCGCGTGACCCTCTATATCAGATATAAGGCACCTGATGAGATTAATGATTTACTTGGTATGGGCAGATTGCCCTTCTATCACGGCATCTAGAAGTTTACGTCCATATTTCTGTAACACCCCTGACCTTAATCATTGCACTATCTCTTGACCTGAGTTGTACGAGAAAGAATTACTTACCTGGGCTGGTGTAAGTTGGAGCCATTACACTGCCGTGTTGTCTGTATTTTGATATCCGATGGTTTGACTAAAAATACGATGGTTGTACTCCGATGAATCACGAGGACGTCCTAACTTTTTCTTCGTCCGTTAAGTCACGTTGAACACCGAAGAACTGATACCATCACTTATGATCATGGTTCAGGTTACTGCTGGTGGCGTCGCTGGTGTGTGTCACAGGGAACATCACCCTTAAAGTTCTTCCTTTATTGAGCAACACAAGGTGAGATATGCAACACAGTCACCCGCCTGCGCTGGCAATATCTTCTCCCATTAGTGCTGCTATTACCTCAGAATTACCGTTCGTGCATTTCTGCCCGATGTAACATTCTAGCAAAATTTAATATTTATCCTAGCATAGGTCAGGCCTAAGACTGCCCTGACCTATGTCACATATATTGTCTTGAATGGCTCGTTGTTAAGATTTCTGAAAGCTAATCTTAGATTCGTCAGACTCCTTTTTCTCTGAGGTTATTCAGTTATTCAGGTGTTTGTCCTTGAGCTAGGCTTGGAACCTTTGTTCGCAAAGTCTGTGCTTAGGTTTTAATCTTCGTACCCATTCTCTAATTGACATAACCGTGCACTTGTTGGGTTGAATTCCAGTAGCCATTTTGCTGATCAATCCTGCAGTTTGTAAATGTCCGTTTGTAGCTTTTCCTTGTCCTTATAAGTTGTTTTTTCTCATTAGTTTTACATCATCTGGAGACAGGGATACATCCGACTATCGCTTTTGGTATGTCACTCAACACCAGACCCATTACTGATCCTTGTGGAACCCCAAGTGTTACTCTTTCCCATTCTGACTCCTCTTCTTGGACAATCACTCTTTGTTTCCTCCCTTCTCATTAGCAA